CTCCTCCCGGCGCTCGTAAAGTTGTTCTGGCAACCAACATTGCGGAAACATCGCTCACCATTGACGGCATCATTTACGTCATCGACACGGGCTTTTGCAAGCAGAAGTTTTACAGTGCTCGCGCCGGCATTGAATCTCTTATCGTCGTGCCAATCTCCAGAGCCGCGGCTGACCAACGGGCCGGAAGGTGCTGTTTCCAACTTTGTTGCCTACGCAGCCACGCACTTTTGTTGATAGGCTAGTTTAATACACTCTGATAGCTCTTCAACCAGATTTTTCACAGGACTAATGATTCGATTATTTGAAAAAGTTCCTCCCGGGCAGGCTTATTTTACGTACTCGTATATGAAATCTGCAAAAACTCTTGCGACTGCCAGCGGTTGACTCTAAGAAGGGATGGGGGGAGACCTTGCCATGATTATTAAAAAACGAAAGCCCAGTAGGTAGTGTAACTGATGAAAATTTTATTTAACATCCAAAATTTGATTTCTTTTAGAGGCTTTTACGTTGGTGGGATTGTGGAATTGATTGTTCATCAACAAAATCCCCAGATATTTCAGGCACGCCCTAATGCGTCACTCTGGCCGTCTGCGAAAATTACACTTGCTTAAAATTTACTCTTCGTGAAGTATGAATTTTACGTTATTTCCAGATTCCCTTATACATTTCAACATATTTCATAGGCTGTATACATAAACACATTAGTTCCTGTGCTCATTTTGTAGTGATTTAAGTCTCTAGTTTTTTAAGTTGATGAAACGGTTCCATCCAGGGTTTCAAAGTAATAAATATTTTTTAAGTGGCTTAAAAATTCATCAGACCCAGTGTTTAACATTTTTGGAGGCCCTAGAACACGTACAGTCAATGCTCTAACCGCTTGAACTACGAGGCTCCGAAGAGAAGTCGTGAGTTTGATTCCATTAGGATCAATCTGTCCGCTCTATCTCATTTGGCGTATGAACTCCACCATTTTCGATGCACTCAGTTGACTGCCCAAAGAGAAATTCCTTAGCAGTGAATCTAGAATCCGCCGGACGACCGAACCTGCATGTGAACTTGTGCGGGTTGACATCCTGCGTCACACACCTATCCTAAAAATCATCCCGACATCGATTTACATCCCTTTATAGACAACTAACTAAAGGACAGATTACAGAAACGCGGCAGTGAACAAGACTTAGAACTAGTTTACGCTCTGCGGCATGCCAGCAAGATAAATGCAGCCGTCCTAGAAACGGGTTTCGGTCAGGCTCATGCCGCGCTCGTGACCTGCGCCTGGTTTCTGCTCGACCAAGGCACAACAGGCTATCATCTGCGCCCGATCCTGCCTCCGGTCTTTTTGGCTCAATCTTGACACCGAGCACAGGCATGTGAGGGAGGAGAGAGTGCAGTACCTGCAGCGCTCGACTACTGTCACTTAAAACTTATCCACGCACAACTAACCGTCCACGCATCACCTTCCTGTGGGGCACACGATAGACCACCTCGGAACCGAGATTCAAAGAGTCGATATGTTTGCAAGTGCTAGTGTGGGATTGCGGACCGAGGACCCGAGTTTTAAACCGAAGACTTGAAGATTTGTGGAGCGATCGACGAGCGCGGATATTTATTACGGATCTTTCGATTGTACAGCTGACGACTATGGTGATTATGTTGATGACAAAGTTATGTTGGTTTTGATGGTCGCGTGTAATAATCCATGGCGTAACCTATGCACCGGACTGCTGCACATAGCTTTACTATTACAGATCTGGGAACATTTTGTCTCTAGATCTAAGACTGATCAAACGGCTCTGCGTCTAATGACGAGCGATAAAGGTGGAAAGATTGTCGGTTCAGTAGTAATGTCAAGTGGGTGCTCTCCTCGGTACGACCGTGTTCGTTCCTTTAAGCAATAGTAATTAATGAAAAACTTCGGATGCCGTTCCGTTAGCGTGCACAGCCTTTTCCTGTTGAAGCACCACCACCCAATCACACACCTCTCATTTGTTTTTTTTAAAAATCAATTCAAATTAACAGAGCGGGTCGTGTTGCCGCGGGCAAGTGCTTCCGCCTCTACACCTCCCATGCCTACCACACTGAACTGGAGGCCCAGCCCGTGCCGGAAATCCAACGCACCAACTTGGGCAACGTCGTACTCCTTCTCAAATCCCTTGGCATCGACGACCTCCTGCATTTTGACTACATGGATCCACCTCCACATGATGCCCTTGTCATGGCACTGGAACAGTTGTACGCCCTTGGTGCTCTCAACCATAAGGGCGAACTTACCAAGACGGGACGCCGAATGGCCGAATTCCCCTGCGACCCTATGCTTTCCAAAATGATTCTAGCTTCAGAAAAGTGAGTTCGTCTGCTGGTGGCGTGCTTCTGTGGGCCTTTGGATGAGGCTTTTCACGCAAAGTATTGACATTTTTAAGTTGTTGCTGTATCGTTTATGACACCAGAGCGAACTACGTGGTTGCATTAAATCACAAGAAGGTCAACCATTCTGATATTGGACAGGTATCTGACTAATGTGTGGATCTTGTCAGTCGAGAGATCAGAGCACACGTGGTGTGTGGCGGACGAGTTTCGAAGGCATAGCCGGTCATTGCCGTTCATGACAGTCGGCTTCATCCATTCTCCCCGGATACAAAGTGATACCGATTCTGCTGACCTCGAACTATCGCGGCAGCAATTTGGGATATCTAATCACAGCCACTTTGAGTGGTCCTTGATTCCTCGCCTACGTAATTACAAGGACAGTTTATACATGAATTGCGATGTCTTATACCAGAGCATCCACCGGAGTATTATCGGTCCTTGATCTTCTTGACTAAACGTTGAGTGGTGGGTGTGGGCCGCAGAATGAAACAGAGTAGCAGCCGCTCCTTTCTGGCCTTGTGGATATCCTGGTAGCGAATATGAGACAGCGGTTCTTGTGAGGTCAGCGGGCACCGCTTCCATCACCAGTTTTCACGCCCATTAAACAGATTCAGACTCACTATAGCCACCCTGATGAAAGGACCCTTGAGGCCCAATAACTCTGTGCTTATCTTGTGTGATCAATTTTTGCCTTTGTGAAGCATGCTTAAGAGACGATCTAATCCACAGTGGTATCTTGATCACACCCCGGTCTAAAGCTGCCATT